CATGATGTCGCCCAGCCGGACTACGGCCGGGGGAGCGTAGGGGATTGTGCAACATCGTCATTCTCCACTGATCAGCATCCATGCCCTCCCTCCGCTTGTGTTTGTCAAGATAGACAAATTGGCGGAAAATCTGGACACGGGTATCGAATGGAATGACGAATGGCATGTGCCTCAGAATCTCCAGCTTTGGCCCGATCACAGCGAGCAGACGATCCCTCTGTGCTTTACGTTGCTGAGCCCGGAGCTTCTCAATCTGTGCATGACGTGATACTCGCTGTCCGGCCACGGTGTGAATAATGCCGCTGTGCAGCCCACCCATATTCGCATCTTCGTCAACCTCGCCGTCTTCGTCTTCACTAGAGTCGGAGACTTCGTTCTGTCGTTCTTGTTCGGCGACAACAGCACTAACAAACCCTTCCATGTCGAATTTCGATGTCATGAGCCAGTGGTCTCGGGGTAAGAACGGCCGTCGAGAATCTCGTTCGTACAAGAGTCGTAATGCCGTAGTCACGATACTACGCAGGCTACCGAGATCAAGCCGTGTATCAGCCGCATTGGCTCTTGAGTCTTGGCTACGGGCCTCCTTCGAACTTTTAGTGGTGCTACTGCCGCTTCCAAAATACGACTCAAGTTGCGTCATCGAGATTGGCTCGGAGTGCTGGATGCCTTGTAGAATGTCCGCGGCATTGTAATGTAGCGTGAAAGCTAGGTGCTTGAGCACAATGGTCAAGTTCTTCACCTCGTTGAGAGAAAGTCCACATGCTCGCAGACGAGACGTCGGCCCCTCGCTTTTGATTATGTCAGGGAAGATACCACTGAAGAAGTCTTCGTCGTCGCTTAAACGTAGAATGAAGATGTAAAGCTCGAGGAAAAGAAGGACTAGTCTCCATTCTTGCTCATGAGAATCATTGGACTTTGACGACTTTGACAAGTAGTCTCGCAGCAGGGCTTGTACCGATGCTGAGTTTTGTAAAACCTGCTTGTAAATGGTGGTCTGGCTCATAGCCTGCCAAAGGAACTGGATCGTCGGCAAGCTTCCCAGGCCCGAGCTGACATCTCCTAGGAAGAGGCGCATGCGGATTTCATCGCCCTGACTTGGGAAACAGCGGAGCAGAGTCAGGATGTACCCGGACAGCAAGCTTGCGCTTTGGAACTCGTGACTTGAGGACTGAGAGCCAAAGTTACTAGGCAATGTGAGCGACTTTCTGAAGGTAGGAAAGGGGTTCACTTACGTAGTGAGCTCGGCCAAAAGTGCTGAAATTCCATCTCTGTTGACCAGGGATGTGAGCTGATTGGTGATGTATGCAGGCAGAGGGCGAATCAACGACTCGTCCGGGTTGCTAGAGTCCACATTCATCGAGGCCGGGTCAGCTGGTCGGACTGATAGCCTCAAGCTGATTTCTGTGGACAAGCTCGAAAGTTGTATATGTAATGCGTCTAGATGCTTAAGCCCCTGGCTCTTCGGTCCGGCCTTTTGGTATAAACCAACGAAATGTGCAAGAAGCCACAGTTGAGCTTCCCGTTCAACACCACGTATCCGTCCGTCATTGTAGATTTTGTTGATGGCTGAGGCGAGTCGATCGGATTCGAGGTTTTCAGAAATGACTTTCGAGTGCTCCTCGACGAGGTACAGATCATGACGAGTCAAGAAGGACAGCGCAAATGCCTCGTAAGCGGCCACCAAATACTCGTCAGCGCATGCAGCCTGGACCGGCACGAGGAGAGCTTTCGAAGTCGACTCCAAAGCCGCCGCATCGGTCTCTGGTACTCCACATATCTCTGCTAAGGCTGTGTAGTACTGTCGGAACGATTTTGAGAGCGCATCGGGAGCAACACTTATGATGTGCGTGAGGAGGCTAAGGAAGAGTCGGTTCTCGTTGCTTTGGCTGCTAGAGGCACCGCTAGTTGACATCGAGCGTTGTTCGAAGAGAGACACGAACGATTTCTTTGTTTGTTCGCCTAGAGCCTCCACAAGTATCCGAACAAGACGTGCCAGCCGAGGTGCAGGAAGTTGGCCAGGCGCAAGGCACTCGAGGTTGGTCGTATTCAGTTCTCTCGCAAAGAGCACCAAGCGTTTAACGTCGTCGGGTCGGGTCTGAAAGATTGTCAACAGCAGCGGCAAGGCCGTCGCTAGTCTCTGCTGTGTACCAAGGTCTGAGGTACTCGAGTATAGAGCATCAAAGGCGTCCCGGCGAGAGTCTCGAAGCCGCCTCCTGACCCTGTGGCCCCTCCATGTTTTCTGTATCTTTTCGGAGGCTTTCAGCCTGTCTCGGTCTTGCTGTCTCTGTGCACGTTCGGCTTGGGCGTTGGAAACAGTCTTAGAGGCTCCCGAGCCTGCGGCAGGCGTCCATGATGTTGCAGCAAAGGGATTGAGGCTCTGGCCGCTGAGGTTCACATTCCGGGGGCGTCGGGAGTTGCCCGTGAAGGTGGGAAACATGTTTCCTCGGAGAAACGATGCCTAGTGAAAGAAGTGAAGATGGTATGGTTGAACCATGTCAAGCAGAGATTCGCAGACCCAACGAGGTACAATTAGCTGCCGGGATGGAGGGTGAGGATGTCGCGAACGCGGTTGACTTCCAGAAGCTTCAGCACGTTCGGACGGGGTGTATGTAATCGAATTGTCACTGGAGGGGGATTCACAGGCTTGGGCACCGGCTATGGTGGGGTCTGCGTGTCTAGAGGTGCCTGGCCTGGCGAGGTGGTGAGGTAAGCTGGAGCTGGTCCCGGCGTCAAGTTGTGGAAGGTTCCGATGTGACGCGAGCAGGCACGCCGCACGCCGCACGCCGCACGAGCTTTCTGGCCCAGTGGGTCCTGGGACCCGGGGCAGCAAGGTAAGGTAGGTAATAGGTACCTTAGGACACTACGGAGCACGGGGTACGTACCTTGGATAAGAGAATGGGGGCGGTTGCGTCCAAGCGCCACCCCCTGGCACCCTGGCATCCGGGGAGGAGCACACACAAACCGACGTTGACCTAATTGCTGCTAGTTGGCCATAATCATGATGTAGATTTGTGATGACATGTGTAAAGACGGATAGACCCGACGATGTATGGTCACAACAAAAGGCAAGGCAGGTGTTATACTCGGTAGCCTCAACATACGGCCGTCGCAGGAGCTAAAAGTCAATCTTGATTGTGTTATTCTTTCAAGACACGGGCTGACTCGGATTGCCGTTTCTTTACTCGCGCAAATGTCGGTGAGGATGCCAGGTGCTGGTGAACCCGTATGAGGAAGGTACCCTGATGTAGAAAGGCTGAAGAGTCGTGCGAGAAACAACCAAGGTGTTCGTTCCTTTCTCAGGGAAAACTGCGCGATGTGGTTGCAGGCATTTATGAATCACGATGATTCCAATTGTCTTTGCGCGCATGATTGTCTATGTACAAAGCTACACACTCGCGGCACGAGCATTCGTCTGGGCTCTACCTTATTAACCGTCTGTTCTCTTGATAGGACACCAAGCACTGGCCGGAAGGGGATGGACCGCGGTTAACAGAGGCTGGGGCTATACAAATACGGATATGCAGAAGAAACCTGGCGCGCGCATGTTTGTCGAGAGGGCGAGAGGCTGAGTGCCTCCAAATCGGTTTCCCGTGTCTTGAGCTTTTACGTTCTTCAGTTTCGGGCCCTCAGATTCATGTCTAAGGCGGCAGCTAACGATTTGATGGAAGTGCCGGCTTGCTTCGTGGGCATTTGTGGCACAGACAAGCGCATTTAGGTACCGGCTTTCCAGCCACGGCTCTTGGTGTGAAATCGCCCTTGCTTTTTGGAAATGAGCATTGTCCCTGACGTTGTATTCCAGGTTGTCGCACACCGCAGAAAGAGATAGAGCCAGCCAGGTATGACTATCTCATCGTTCTTGTGTGCCGTGACTGGCTGTAAGTCAAGGTAGTATGTCGCATTACTCCGTATGCCTGAACCTGTTTGTTTCTGCCAATATGGTGCTCCAGACACCTCCAGATCGGCAATCTTCTTTTTTTGTTTGTATTTTCGTCACAGGGTTCGCCGTTGAATCGGAGATGGTCGCATAAATTTCTGACGTTTCTCCACTAAACCAGCTACTTCAACGCTTGTACTCGTGGCGGCGCTGGCCTGATGTTCCTATCACTTGTCAGTGAATTAATACAGCCATTTCCGATAGTGATCACCAAGCCGGGACATTGATGGCTTGTACCCCACTTTGCTGGCACATGCCCTGCTCCTGGCGCGGGCTGCCCCTCCCCTCGACAAAATCTGGAAGGCGAAGAGGGACACAGCATGAGCAGCAGGAGCGCCAAAATCAAGTGGTGGGAAGGCAGCACCCTCCACTGCAGGTAGGCAATCTCCAGTAAAAAAAAAATCATCCCGCGAAAGCCACACTCATTGAAAAATCTCTCCTCTCTTCTTCTTTTCTCCGTTACCAACCACACCAAACCCTATCAACAACCCCCTTCACATCTAAAGAGGGTCTGGCAAGGAGTACGTCTTCGTACTTGTTCTCTGTCTCGCTCACTTTTTCCATCAGAAAAAACTTCAAAAAAAACTTGAAAATCCCCCATCAAAAACTCCCAACTTCCATAACGGAATCCCCCTCCTCAATCGCAAGAAAATACTAGAGGAATCGTTCACCGAGCCTCTATTTCTTGCTTTTACCTCCGCACCTGCCTGTCAATCTTGCAACAAGTGCCCCTCGTGTGTGTCGGTCAAACGTCACACATCGCCATAACCTCGTTCGACCATACAAGGCTTGCCTTCTCCTCGACTACTCTTATCCCCTCCGACCACATCGTCTCGGTCTCGTCCAACGACCGATCGTCAGATTTCTTGACTTGGTATGTGCTCTCTCTCTCTCCCCCTCACATCCCCTCTCCACCCTCAATCTGGCCTTCGACCGACTTTTGCGGCTCGCAAATGCCTACCCCGCCTTCCAAGTCGCGGCTTATTCCCCCGTCATCTCAATCTGCGTCTAACGTCCACTTGGTGTTGCAGTATCTTTTCCCCTAGTCAATTCTACTACCGATACAATGGCCACCGCTACCAACAACGGCGCTGTCGACCAGCTCGCCAACGACCTGGGCAACGCTTCCCTCAACGGCTCTGACTCCAAGGCTGCCCCCGCCATCAACACCAACGTTGAGTCTGGCGCTCAGGGCGACAATGCCGACACCGCGGGCCCTACCCCCAGCTCCGCTGCGCCTCACCCCCAGGCCTCCGCCTCCCTCTACGTCGGCGAGCTCGACCCCTCTGTCACCGAGGCCATGCTTTTCGAGCTGTTCTCTCAGATTGGTTCTGTCGCTTCCATTCGTGTCTGCCGTGATGCGGTTACCCGCCGCTCTCTCGGCTACGCCTACGTGAACTACAACACTACCTCCGATGGCGAGAAGGCTCTCGAGGAGCTCAACTACACCCTTATTAAGGGCCGCCCCTGCCGCATCATGTGGTCGCAGCGTGACCCTGCCCTTCGCAAGACTGGCCAGGGCAACGTCTTCATCAAGAACCTGGATGTCGCCATTGACAACAAGGCTCTCCACGACACCTTTGCTGCTTTTGGTAACATCTTGAGCTGCAAGGTTGCTCAGGATGAGAACGGCAACTCCAAGGGCTACGGCTTCGTTCACTACGAGACCGACGAGGCTGCTTCTCAGGCTATCAAGCACGTTAACGGCATGCTTTTGAACGAGAAGAAGGTTTACGTTGGCCACCACATCCCCAAGAAGGACCGCCAGAGCAAGTTCGAGGAGATGAAGGCCAACTTCACCAACATCTACGTCAAGAACATCGCCACCGAGGTCACCGACGATGAGTTCCGCGACCTCTTTGCCGCCTTTGGCGACGTCACCTCTTCCTCGCTTGCCCGCGACCAGGAGGGCAAGAGCCGCGGCTTTGGCTTTGTCAACTTCACTACTCATGAGGCTGCTTCCAAGGCTGTCGACGACCTTAACGGCAAGGACTTTAAGGGACAGGACCTGTACGTTGGCAGAGCGCAGAAGAAGCACGAGCGCGAGGAGGAGCTCCGCAAGTCCTACGAGGCTGCTCGCATGGAGAAGGCCAACAAGTATCAGGGTGTCAACCTGTACATCAAGAACCTCGACGACGAGGTTGACGACGAGAGACTTCGCCAGCTGTTCGCCGACTTTGGCCCCATCACTTCCGCTAAGGTGATGCGCGACAACGCCACCGACTCCGGTAACGAGGAGGAGGGCTCTTCCGATGAAACCGACAAGGAGAACAAGGAGGAGGTCAAGGCCGAGGAGAAGGAAGAGGCCGAGAAGACCGAGGAGAAGGAGGACGGCGAGAAGAAGACCGAGAAGAAGTCGGACAAGAAGCCCCATGGTAAGAGCAAGGGCTTCGGCTTCGTCTGCTTCAGCAACCCCGACGACGCCACCAAGGCCGTTGCCGAGATGAACCAGCGCATGGTCAACAACAAGCCTCTGTACGTTGCTCTTGCTCAGCGCAAGGATGTTCGCAAGAGCCAGCTTGAGGCTAGTATCCAGGCTCGCAACCAACTCCGCATGCAGCAAGCTGCCGCCGCTGCCGGTATGCCCCAGCAGTACATGCAGCCCCCGGTCTTCTACGCCGCGGGTCAGCAGCCCGTCTTCCCCCAGGGTGGTCGCGGCATGCCCTTCCCCCAGGGCGGCATGGCCATGCCTCCCGTTCAGGGCGGCCGTCCGGGCCAGTTCCCCGGAGGATACCCCCAGCAGGGCGGACGCGGTGTTCCCCAGCAGATGCCCCCTGTCTACGGCATGCCTGGCTCCTTCCCTCCCGGAGGTGCCTACCCCCAGCCTGGTAACCCGCAGTTCATGGCGGCCATCCAGCAGGTGCAGCAAGCCACCATGGGCGGCGGCCGTGGCGGTCCCCAGGGCGGCCGTGGTCCCGTTCCCCAGGGAATGCCCATCCCCGGCGGCCCCGGCATGCCCGGCTTCCCTCCCAACGCTCGCCAGGGTGGTAACCAGCCCGGCGCCGGCCGCGGTGGTGCCAACCCCAACGCTCCCCGTAACGCTCCCTTCCCCCAGGGTGGCCGTGGAGCCCCTGCCCAGGAGCTCAACAGCGGCAGCCTCATCCAGCAGCAGCTCGCTGCCGCCGGTGGCAACCCCGGTCAGCAGAAGCAGATCCTCGGTGAGGTCATCTTCCCCAAGATACAGGCTATCCAGCCTGAGCTTGCCGGAAAGATCACCGGTATGCTTCTCGAGATGGACAACGCTGAGCTTGTTAACCTGTAAGTTTATATAACCCTCATGTCCACTGATCTCTCACTAACATTCCGCAGCATCGAGGAGGAGTCCGCTCTCAAGGCCAAGGTCGACGAGGCCCTCGGCGTCTACGAGGAGTACATCAAGGCTCAGGGTGGCGAGGAGGGCGAGAAGAAGGCCGAGGAGACCAAGGCTTAAGCCATCTCCTCCGCATTCACGCAACGTTATGAGCATGATTTCCTTATGTCATCATACCCCTTGTTATCGGGCATCCTTTCTACGACCAGTGAGCATTCAACGACAACGCTCATGAGGTCATTGCTCAACACGGATTGGGAAAAGTTATTTGGAATGAGGCGGCATAATCGACTGCATTTTTTAACGCCAGAGGAATCTCCACGACATGCTTTGCTATGATGACAGCTCTTTGAGACCTGTCGTCAAATCCTCTCGAGGCCTGCATGTATGGATAGATTTCTTTACTGCCTTCGTGGGCAGAGAGATTGGCGGTTCATCCCTACTTTGGGTGGCTCCTGTTTCTCTTGATCTGCCAGGAAGGCTCGGTGGGATGCGTCATTTGCTACCCCGTATGGTTCTCCAGGAAGGCGTTTTACGGTTGTATGTTTGAGTCGCACGAGCTGCCTGGCTTCGCTCGCTTGCGACGGCACCAATACCCCACACAGAACGGTACTCGTTTCTTCAGGCAAACAGGCAGATGGTGGTTTTGAGGAGGTAGGAAGTATCTCCTAATAGAAAGTTCACAAATACCTGGGGTTCCTTGACTGTGAACACGTGATGATGTGCATGAAATACCATTGTCTTGACAAACTCTGTTTCCATGTCTGGGCGTGGTTACTGTTGGCCACAATGCCACATTTTGATTCGGTCAAATGAGGAGGTCTGGTCCAGCTGGGTTGGCAAATCTGGTATGTAAACCTCACTTCGCGCTGTTTCAATACGATCAACCAGGCCTTAGCCTTTCCTTGGTCAGGAGGACAGCTACAACTGGAACTACACAGGTCTTACCTTGGTTGACGAGAAGGGCATCAATTGTTCAATGACCCTCTTCACCCCGAAGGATTCACCATTAGTTCCGAACATGAGGTTACTTACTTCGTTACACCACGCCTCATCAGCTAAACCATCGCCGACATCTGCAGAGCCTCTATTGCCCCTAACTTCTCACAAGGCCAAGCGTTATAAGTGTGTTGTCCACGAAGGGGGCCCCCGGTAGATTTAATATTACACCTTTACATAGCAGGACATGAGGAAACGTAGAGCACGACGAAACACTTTAATGTTTATTTCAACCAAGGGCAGTTGGCGTGGCCTTTTTGTGAAATGCGGCGCGCCGATGTAATATAATAGCTCAGAGGATATGCTGTCAGAATTGATTACTGAAATTGATTTGCCTGGACACCGAAAGCTAGTTACTAGCGAAGAGCACTTTGTGCGTGACTTTCAGTCCCATGCATACGCGGAATATGATCAGCAAGCATAGAAGCTGATTCCTGCTATGTAACTTTCTATATCATGTTCCAGCGTCCTCTTGCTAGACTGGCATACACATGGTGACGTAGTTCAGCTGTAGATGGCGAACGTTTCCCAAACAATCTGCCTTAAACTCCGCCTCACAATCAACTCAGCCTGGAATTTATTTCGCTCTTTTGGATGCTCCCACCGCTATAATATACTGGGCAGATAAAGTGCAAGGCGCCCCCTCAAGTCCACACTGAGGGTACAGCTAGACTTGTTCCCGTCATCCTTCAGTAGACAACCCTTTGACTTGGGCATTTAAGCAGACAAAATGTAAATCCGGTCGATTTGGACAAAGCTGTGATAACCTCGGAGAGGCCGTTGTACCTTGACGAAGCCGTAGTATTAGTATCTTGCGGTATGAATATGGACGCAGAAGTCTCGGCAGGGCATCAACGTCGCCTAAAGCTGAGTTGTCTCAAAGAATCAAGAGCGAGGGTCATGAGCATGATCTGGTATGAGACCTCCTGATGCTGATGAAGAAAAAGAGCGGCGTACATAATCGAACTCGTCAAAAGCCTGTGTGTGCCCTATCTATTCCAAAAAGGCGTTGGTAGGGTTGATGAAGTTGCAGCAAAGCTTTCTTCTGCCAAACAAGTACGATATGACTCCCCCGTGGGAAAATTTTCCAGCATTGAGCGGTATATAACCTCGGGACTCGGTCGTCGGCTTGGTCAGTCTTACCCAGACAAGACAGTCTGGACACCCTCGGTTTGTCTAGACAGCTCTCAACTGTCGGCCTGGCGCCTGCAGATACCCTGCCTCCTTTGCCTCAAGGTTTCCTGACTTCACCTGTCATGCTGGCTTTTTATTAACTAAAATAACCCTCTAGAACACCGCATTCCCATCGGTCCCTCTGGTGGTATATTGCCTTGGAATATCCTCAAAATGAAGCGGCGAAGTAAAAGATGGATGTGATGAAGTGTTTCATAAAACAGACCATTGACTATTGCATGGAGAGATACTCTCTAGCTGTATACGGGATATAAGACGAAAGGTCACATTCGGTCGGTCTGCAATCTTTTACCACTGAGCGGGATAGTCTTTTGTGGCGAGAACGCGCCGATTTATACAACCCAGGCAATGACAAAGAACGCGCCTCCCAGCTTCCCATAACGTCTTGCTAGTGATGGAGCTCGAGGCAGAGACACCGCAAGAGAGATGAACATCGCGAAAAGGTGTGCAACTCCTCGTGATAGCCTAATTCAGTACAGATGGCGAATCACCGACTTGCCAGAACGTGGCTCGACGCGCACTTGCGCTGACGTAGATCACGTCTGCGTAGACTCTTTTGGCACAAGCTACCATCTCCGGAACAAACCGTGGAATCGTGTCAAGTCTAACAATCGCGAAGTTCTGGGGACCGTAGCTGCCGTGGCCGTCAAAAGGTTCACTGCATGATTAAATCTTACATTGAGCTGCTATACTAAAGCTTTCCTCACCAGGACGGTAGGGGTCGTAGCAAGGCCAGGAACATTTACGGCATACCATCATACCAAGATGCAGAGAACCATTCGATAACAAGATTATTCCTCATTCATGTTGACTGAATTCACAAATCGAGAGTTGATTGAGTGCTATCCATTTAGACAACTCTGTTGTAGGGTTTAAGTCTTAGTCGCAATTCCAGGACTCAAATCAGAGCTTCAAAAACAGCGCACTGTACAATAAATACCTGAGGATCTACTCAGTCTTGGAACTTCTAAAATCGAAACGCCTTTATCAACTCAATCGTTCACAAATCGACAATTATCAACATGCATGTGTAGTCAGAGCCCCCAACTACACAAGTGGTTGGCACGACGGACGGAGCAGATTAAGTGCGGGGCCACCCGCATCTCACCTCGCCCATGGAGCCAGCTAGCCGGAGCCCTAGGCTACTTAATCAAATTTTGCGGCTCGCACCTCCAACCCACCGAGCGGAGCAATAGCTCCGATCCTCCCCTTGGTGTAGTTGGTTCATCACGTTCGACTGTAATGGTGTTACATTGTCATCGAAAGGTCTCTAGTTCGATTCTGGAAGGGGAGAATCATCATCTCTTTTGCTGGTTTTTTGCTCTCTTGTTCACTCATGGTTTAGGTGACGGAGCTGTGTTAGTAATGCGATTTAGGTTGTTTGTGAAAGTTTTTCTTTTCTCTGTGGTGAGTAGAGAAGGTGGGGTGGGGTTGTGTGTACGATAGATAGGCGTGGCAGGCCCCTTATCTTTTCCTCTCTGGAACAAAGATAGTTAAGCTTCAGAGGCAATCGCACACATGCAAGAAGTTGTGGAGTATAAGAGTGGCCTTTGATGACACAGAGGAAAGGATTCCGAGGTAATCATGGATATCATATACAGGATGAGGACGTTTGGTGTTCCCCGGCGGATTGTGAACCGGGGTTCATCGCAAGTGTATGTATGGGTAGGTCACTCCTACTAAAAGGACAAAAACATGGGATCAAAATCCACGGTGACTTGGCCACATTGGCAATGTTGGCGACATCGATGCGACCAATGAGCAGCAACCTGTAACGGCAAACTTTCATTGGGGAGCAAACAGAGCGTTGGCTTATAGAAACGAGTGCATCACGAATTATTGACATGTAGATAGATAAACGGATCTTGGATTTCAGTCAAACCCTCAACTCAACTTGCACTTCTGAGAATCAACTGGAATGGCTCGACAGGTATCCGATCCCTCGTGGATCAAAAGTAAAGATGGCTGACACTGGCAAAAGGGCAAAAAACTTTACCGTCCATCGAATGACGCATCCCAACCAAGAAAGCGAAAATAAAAGCATGTCAAACCACCCAAATCGTCACTGAGGGAAACCCCATTCGAAGTATAGTCAAAAAGCAAAACGATTGATTTCGCCCGGACTTGAACCGGAGACCTTCAGTGTGTTAGACTGACGTGATAACCAACTACACCACGAAACCTTATTGGTTATTAGTCTGGGAGTGTGAAGCCGTGTAAGAAGCGCTTTCCTCGGGCTCCCTCCCGCTCCAGGGCGGATCGACGACGCCGACGGGCGAAAGATGCAGACGAGTGCGGGTAACGGGAGCAGTCATCTCCTGCCTGGCTTCGATTAAAGAGGCAACGAACTTGTTCATGGCGTCTGTAAGCCATTAGAAAGCGTACAGCACGTATTAGTCAAGGCCAATTTTGCCAATTTTGCCAATTTTGGCTTGGTAGGCACATCTATGGATATATATCTACAACTCTCACCAACCATGTCATGTCGACCTCGAAACACATGTAGGCTGCCCAAGACGCAGGCCTGAGGCGCGTCTCCTTTCTTCTTCCTCAGTTTTCAGGAATATGAAAACCCCAATTTCTCAGAATGGATACCTTTCGTATATTCATTCCACTGAACAACGTCCCCCACCAGAAGAAAATTTCGAACTCACCATCACGGGCACGTCCCATCTCAAGAAGACTCTTCACCCTCAGCCCCACCTATCCCAAAAATCCCAAAGTCTATAAAACACCGTCCTCCCACCGCAGATTTTTGAATTATTTTTCTTCTTTTTTTTCTTCATGTCGACAATACTTCAGAGAATCATTTCTATAGTATTCGACCTACTCTTGGTTCCCTAAAGGAGCTACAGATCCCACCCTGGTTGATGATTGATATCCTCGATACCCTAGAGTGATATATACTCTGGTTGTTCTCGCACCCTCCGCAAGGAGGGCGGGACAGAAGTTCTTGCTTCTGTCTTGTATAGAGAACGGTGATGATCTCGTCCCCTCTCGCGGTCTTGCCCTTGGGCGCGCGGGAGGGGTGGGCATCGATGGACGTCTGACAGGCTCTTTTTTTTTTCATTTTTCATTGCGGGCTGGAGCGAGACTCTGGTCGTGAAGAAGAAATTTCGGCCTCCAAGGACCTACCGATGTGTATGGTGTTACTGGACTGGACTGGGATGGTTTTCCGTACAGGAAGGATACCTCAAAATTGGCTGGCTTGGACTTCTCGGTTCAATACCTGGATGAGATGGGTTACATGCGATCTCTTAAAAGACAAGGCGTGAGGCGATAAAGGTAGGACTCTTACCGTCGACCTGGAAAATGTAGGTGATTGCCGAGACATTGCAAACCTCAGGCCAAACAGGTGCATCAAATTAAAACCTTCAAGACATCGTAGACCAATCGTATTTCATACGCCTAAATCCAGAACCATTCTGTTGATATACAACCAGGCCCAAATGCTCTAACTAAAATACAAGTTTCATCATCAAATCTTCAAAACCCCGTCGTCACCAATTTACTCGGCAACCCAGACGGCGCTCATGCCCATACCGGTACCGATACACATGGACGTGTTGCCAATCTTCTTACCCGTCCGCTTAAGCTCGTACAACAGCGTCGAGATCTGTCTCGCGCCAGTGCAGCCAAGCGGGTGACCGAAGGCAATAGCACCGCCCTTGGGGTTGACCTTTTCGAACGGGATGCCGAGCACCTCAGCGCTCCACAGGCATTGCGACGCGAAAGCCTCGTTGATCTCGTAGATATCGACGTCCTCGGTCGCGATGCCGGCCTTGGCGTTGGCGACGGGGATAGCCTTGGCCGGACCCTGGCCCATGAGCAACGGCGGCAGGCCGACGATGGCGGCGGAGACGAACTTGCCGAGGATGGGCTGGCCGAGGCGCTCGGCGGTGGAGCGCTTCATGAAGAGCACGGCGGCGGCGCCGTCGGAGACCTGGGAGGCGTTACCGGCGTGGATGCCGCCGTCCTTTGCAAAGGCGGGCTTGATCTTGGCCAGGGACTCGGCGGTGACGCCGGCGCGGATGCCGTCGTCCTTGGCGACGGTGATCTCCTTGGTCTCGCCAGACTTGGGGTCCTCCCACTTGACCTTGAGGGGGACGATTTCCTGGTCAAAGAGGCCCTCGGCCTGGGCCTTGGTGGCCTTCGCGTAGGAGGAGGCGGCGAAGGCGTCCTGCTTGGTGCGGGGGATGCCGAGGTCCTGGGCCATGTTCTCGGAGAGAACGCCCATGGGGACCTTGCAGTTTGCGGCTTCGGGGGTGTTCTCGAGGAGCTCAGAGAACTCGGAGACGGCGGCGGGGCTGTTACGAGATGAAGGTCAGTTTACTGAGAGTATGGGAGCGCGGGGTCAAGGAGCAACATACCCGTATTGCGTTGACATGCTCTCGACACCGGCGCCGATGCCGACCTCAATCATGCCAGTCTTGATCGCGTTGATAATGTCCACGGAAGCCTGCAGACCAGAGGAGCACTGGCGGTTGAGGGTGCGCACGGCAGTGGTCTGGGGGAAACCGGCGACGAGGGCAGCGGCACGCATCTCGGTGGCACCACCGCCGGGGGCCAGGACGGTGCCGACGGCAATATCCTCGACGAGGGCGGGATCGATCTTGGAGCGGTCGAGGAGGGCCTTGAGGGTGCCGGCAATCAGGTCGGCGGCCTGAGTGTCCTTGAAGCCACCCTTGCCACCCTTGGTGAAGGGCGTTCGGAGGGCTGCGGTGACGACGACCTGCGAGGAGATACGATTAGACGGGCAAATCCAGTGATGGTCTGGAGAGAGAGCGATCGGGCGCTTACATCGTCAGCGTTCTTCTGGAGGATCTTGTCCTTGCCGCCGGCGGAGAACTGGCCGCCAAGCTGAGTCAATCTCTCGAGGGCTATTTGAGCGACGTGGTTAGTAAAAGAGGCGGAGTTACCAGCGGATGCTATTGCTTGCTACTCACCACCCATTGTGATAGATATGAAGCTTCGAAAATAGAGATGGAAGAGTATATAGATGGAACAGACAGATGGAGAGATGAGACTGGGAAGAGTAGATGTAGAAGGAACAAGTATATCAATTCAAGAGTGTGTAAGGGGAACTGTGACGGACAAGATGTATGTCTGGTTCGGATCTTAGATGGGACAATGAGCCTCGGATGTTGAGAAAACGGGTCCCTGACAAAGGAGCAGCAGGGTACTTGGTACACCAGTCAGTGACCACTGGCCACCTTCAAAGAGCTGGCTGATGTCAGCTGGGGAGGGGGTTCACTCTGCCAGTCTGCACTTCCATTCTCCAGACTCTAGAGTAAGGTAGGTAGGTACCTAGGTATGCACTTCTGCAGCACCCAAAAAAACCGACCGAGGCATCCAAATTCCAGCGACCACACCGCATTGGTTGCGAGACTCCGGGGCCCGAACCCCACCCCTTTTCCCTGAGAGGTGCGGAAAGGTATCCGCTTCTCACCTAGCTGCCATTTTCACATGCTCGCTTCTTCCCCACTGCGCGGTAGCAGGTGCTGTTTCTGGCTGTTCGTGCGCTGCGACAGCAACCTTGGTCCTCACCTTCTCCCGCCTCCCCCGTACTTTTTTTTTTGCCCTTGGTGGCTCAGTGCCAGGAGTGACTTTTGCGGGGGACATACACTCAGCAAGCCAGCAGAGCCATTGGCAAAGTCCCGCCGCGGCCCCCCCCAATAGCTTGCGTCACAAGCACTTTGCGGTAGCCCAGGTGATCACCATCCCGTCTCCCATGTTCTTCAGGTCTCTGCCAATCTTTATCGTAAGCTAGCCGCCTTCTTAGGGTCTTAGGGCGTCACGGGACTTGCTTTACCTCTGGCGGCTTACGGTACCTACGAGGCTGGTGAGCTTGATGGCTGCCCTTTGTGCTTTGTCCGTCAGGTGGAACACGTGCTGGTTTGGCTTGGCTCAAACAGCAACATTTTTTTCCATGTGAAGATGCACCGCGAGTCAATCCAGAAATCTTAGGCGCAAAACAATAGGATGGTGGTTTCATCCACATGGAAACCCCAGCCTCGATTCAGCCATACTCCTTTAGTCGGAATACATGCAGCTGGAAGTAAAGTGCATCGTGACTTTATAGATTCATCACATAGTACAAGGTCAATGTTCTACATATCTGTGTATGTCTCTTTCTCCCGACGAAACATCTGTATATTATCCCTCTACAACTTGGCCGCCGGCTTAATCAACGCCAGTCTCGCCTTCAGCGCCGCCTCGGCCTCCTTCTCTATTCTAGGAACCAAGTCCTTGACCGAAGGGATGTCGTGAATCAATCCAATAACCTGTCCGGCTGTCCAAACCTATACCGAAATGTCAGCTCGATACAGAAACCTTGTGAACGTCGGGAGGGGGGGAAGGGTTACTCACGCCATAATCAGGATCACCAGTGATGAAAACCTCCTTGCCCCTCTTCCCGCTCACGAGCGGCGCAATCTCGGAAAACTCGCCCGACGTGCTCTGCTCCTCAATCTTGATGGCCTCCTCCGTGACCTTGTTCTTGTACAGCCGCGTCGTGTTCCTCCACCGCCGCAGCAGCAGCGCCGTGTCCGTCTCCTGCGCCTTGACAATCTCCTCCTTGATCTTGTGGTGGATCGGCGCCTCCAGCGTGCACATGAACCGCGTGCCCATGTTGACGCCCACCGCGCCCAGGCACAGCGCCGCCGCGAGGCCCTCGCCGTCCGCGAACCCGCCGGACGCGATGAACGGCACCTTGAGCGACTGCCGCGCCCGCGAGAGGAGGATAAAGTTGGTAATGTCCGACTCGCCGACGTGGCCGGCGCACTCGAAGCCGTCGATGCTGAGGAAGTCGACGCCGAGCTTGACGGCGCTCTGCGCGTGGCGGATCGTGGTGCACTTGTGCAGGATCGTGACGCCCGCCGCCTTGAGCTGCTTGATGACGGGGCCGGGCGAGTTGCCGGCCGTCTCGACGATCTTGATGCCCTCGTCGATGACGACCTGGGCGTAGGCGGCGTAGTCTGGGGGCACGAGGGCCGGGAGGAGGGTGATGTTGACGGCAAAGGGGTACGTCGTGAGCGTCTTGCAGCGCTGGATCTCCTTGCGCAGCTCCTCGGGGGTCGGGAAGATGAGGGCGGTGATGATGCCCAGCGCGCCGGCGTTGGAGACGGCCGAGGCGAGGTCGGCTGTGCCGACGTGCTGCATGCCGCCCTGGACGATGGGTACTGTGAGGCGGACGAGAGCGTGTCAGCGATGAGTTGTCCATCTCTGACAGTTTACCCGGGCATAGGGGTTAGGATGCGCGCCATAGTGATGCCTGCGGACATGATGTGTTGTGCGTCTCCTCGCGGCCCTGCTCTGACGTACCTTTGATACCCAACCGTCGGGTCAGCTCAGTGTCGAAGGGCATGTTGGGCAATCGAAACGCCTTCTTTCTCTCTATTCGATTCGGTTTCGGTCCAAACTGTTGTGTTACGTGAAGAACAGGTTCAGGAACGAGGGCGAAGACAAGGATGGACGGGGCAACAGGAAAAAGGAGACAACAATCTTCTAAGAGTTCTAGTCTATCCGTAGATGATGGTGTAGAATGCAGACGTGATAATAAAAAGGGCCAGAGTGGTGGTGATTCTGACGGGCAGTCTAGCTGACTCGGTCCGGCCGGTCAAAGGACAACGCCTGCTCAGCCCCCCGATCGGTACCTTGGGACAGTGGGGACATACCGAGGTAACTCGGCCTCCACCAATCTTCTCCCCCGCGTTTCCAGGTGCCAGGCCATTTTTCGATTAGAGCGAACATGGGGAAACACCGCCGACTCCATTCTTGCCGTCCCCACGGAGTAACTTCCTGTAGAGCTCTCACATGGCCAGCAGCCACCATCTTTCTGTCCACGGGACAATTTCCGTATCAAGGAGGCTTCATTCCTGACACCGGCCAGTCTGGCTTCACTTCATATTCGTGACATTCTGATAGAGAACGCAGCACACAACATCCTCATCCTTGACATACTGAATCATCGAGGAGGGTCGCACAGCAACTCTTCGCAGGCCAACAGACCAGAGAGACGTGCAGCACAGCACATCCACCACTCACTTTCTCTGGCTTCAGCCTTCCACGAAAGCCCCATGGCGTGTCATCTGTGACGCTGTGCTCCCACTCATATTGGATCTCATCGGTTGACAATCAAGGCTTCCGAGGGGCCGCATACTGACCCCCCGGGTATCTCGATACCTGACTGTCCGTTGGTCAGCAAGCACACCACCCAAAGGCGATTGGATGCCTGTGCCCGATATCGACAGCGCCCCATCTCTCTCCCATCTGGCGGCTCTTTGAGGCTTTGGTGCCACAACGTGCAAGTTACGTGATGCGAATCCAACCTAAAGGAACGTCATTAGGCATTTGGCAGTGGCCTTCCGCAACTCGTTTTAATCACAGGAACGTTGTCTGACGTGGAGTGCATGATGCAGAATAGCATGTCCATGATCGATGACGGGTTTGACAACCGCTTGCCCTGAGTGAAAGCCCAAGTGCAACCTTCGAGACAGGCAACACGGATTCCGGCATGTTCTTCACACACGGAAGGTCTGCTACAGCGGAACCGGAGATTTTCGACATGACAGTCTCGGGTTGCCATCCGCTTGTCGGCGAAACTGCCAGGCCCACCTCAAACTATCCGGATGGCAAACCACTGCCAAGGGCTATCGAGCTTAAATCCACATGGCCTCATCGGCTACACTAAAGCCGTTCTTAGGTAGGGAGTCGGGACGTCTCGTTTGCGGTCCACCAAATAGCTAGCAATGAGCCATGCTGCCGGTGTTGTCTAGCAGCACAAGATTGTTCGTGCGTGATGCCCCGTCACGTTCGTTGCCAGGATTGCTCGTTGCTTTTTCTCGCTGCATGTCGGCTTCCTTATTTTCAGGGCCTAGGTATCATCACGCTGCCGAAATCGCTCTCGATGTTCGTTTTCGTCCGCCTGGTGTGTGCCTAAGAATGCCAACGTAGACCTCAATCAGAGTTGCTACGTCGGGACTCGGGATCTTTTCGTGGTCCGACTATTCAACACTTTCTGCGTGCATCTTGACGACCAATGGTTCAAGATAGCCACGGTCTGTTCTGTTTACCATTGGCCCAAGCTTAATCTTCCCCCTGGATGATACTGTTGATCCGAGTCGCCAGGTCCAACACCCTAGATGACTACGTCGTATTCAAACTTTTGACGTGCAGGTATCGGCTTCGACTACCTCGAACGATTCGAGAGTCAGGGACGGACCTCTTTCTTACTTCGTGCTCCCTAGCCATGCGAGGGCGATCACTGACGAGGCCTTGCTTTCATGCGGCCATCCTGGCGGGCGATGACATGTGTGTAAGAGCAAGGAGACGATCCACGTGGACTCAAATGAGCTCCGATGGAGACGACCGTCTGCCACCAAATAGATGATGTGGCAAACTTGGCCAAGGAATATGTCTTTCTAGACATCGACACGTAGCTCGATCAAGAGGAAACTTGCGTTTTGCGCAGCAACTTTGCTGTGAAACAATGTGGCATCCTCCTTCCGTACGTCTCTATTCGAACTTTTGATGAGACATGGGCGGGAGATGTACATTTGACGCCGGCTTCCTGCATCTAAAACGGTTTAGCTGCCGTTGCTGCGTTGGCGGCGCCTCGCAGGGCGGCGAAGGATGGGGACGCGACCGTATGCTCCCGATAGATTGACTGATGCAGCTAGTTTGGGCCATCGACCGCGTTGCGCCATCTGTGAGAATTTCGTTTGGCAGCAACATGCCACCAGCCTCGACCTTCGGTTGGAAATCGGGTATCTGGACTGGAGATGAAGTTGGCAAACAAGTCGGGGAGGCTCGGGTATGCGGACTCCACCGAGACTCGCAGAGCCATCCGTTTCCGCGTCTCGGTGTCATTGGAAAGACCAGCCCCATGCTATGCGAGTACAGGTCTCCTTGGGTCGCAATGCTGCACGTAGGTGGTGAACGTCTGCGGGCGGCGGGTGGGAAGAGCCGTTTGAAAAAAGACATATCGCAGTGACCCTAGTTCATTCGGGGGGGGGGTCGAATCAGTGGAGAGCGAAAGAAGCCTTCGAGAATTCCTCCTGTGAAGCGGCGGTGTCTACTCCGTACACTGTACCACAGATTCTGCCAGATACGGCGAGTATACTGGCATCATGCTCCTTTGTGGGCTTCCACAAACACCCAGGTTGGCGGGACCAAACGCAGTCAATAGCGAGTGCTCGACGGGGGCTTGGCTAACGGATTGCTGCTGACCGCTCATCGTTGATCTCCTGCCAACCATGGGGAAGCACGGGAGCTATGGCGCTACTACCGGCCAAGCCGCAGTCGGAGACTTGCCATAGCTTCGGCAAGGGCTGAGATACCAAGAGCTGGAGCAGAGATCTGTAGGTGTTATCGTTGTCAGGTGGCTAGTCCTCAATCTCCAATGGACTTACACGGATGAGGATCCCCTCCCTCCCGAGTCCAGCGCAGCGTCCATGCGTCGACATTGGAGCGAGTTTCGGTCTCAGACGAGTCGATACGTTCACATCAGAGCGTCCGTTATCCTTGGTGAGAGAAAGAGGGAGAGGCAGAGGCAAAGGGATAGGGGAGGGGCGCGGCCAGAAAGGAGGCAGAAGAGGGCTGCGGTAGGTCCGGGGGATGTTGGAACTGGTCCCGACGTGTTGGTCAAGAAAACATTTCAACCAGATGGACCCTGATTTCGCCCGCACATCCTGCAGTCTGCAGTCGCGTCTGCACGCTGTCGAGCGCCGGAGCCCCTGGCCTTATTCCTGGTCCTGGTCACGGTCCCGCCAAGGGCGAACGCCGATCCGCGAGCAAACATTGGGGCAGCACCGATCTGCTCATCAGTTTGGAGCATTCTGGAGCGCGATGGAATGTTCGTCCGCCGTTGAATGTTTGCTGAAATGTTTCCTCGTCAACAATAGATGGTTGCACAAACGGAGGGAAACATGTTGAACAAAGTCAGAGTCCGAAGGGGGTCTACCGTCTGCGGGATCAGTCAGTAGTGGATGTGAGGTCGCATTTAGGTGTAAGGCGGTGACGAAAGCTGAGGTGTGTGAAGTGTGAAGAAAAAAGATTTTTTTGTCGATTTTGAGTTCAACGACGGGGGCCTTGCGACCGGGACAGGGCCAGAAACTTTTTACCAGAGGAAGGAACCTGGAAGGAACCCTGGACCCTGCCCTGGCGCCTGCCCGACGTTCACCCAAGTCTTCCGGTGCCAATGGTGGCCTGGCGCTTCCTCCTGAGGCCCGGGAGAGAGACATACGCAGTATCCGTACGGAGTATGGAGTAGAGACTAGAGAGAACCTTGAAGTTCGTGGCTTGCCAGGCTTAGAGATCCCATGAATACGATGCTCGCTGCTCGCTGCTCGCTCCTTTCTTCTCCTTCTTCCCCTTGCTGCGAAGGTTCCTATCCTCACTTTCTGCAGATACACAGTAGAGTCCCAGCGCACAATCGCTGCAAGCCGAAGCCAACCTCGTCTTTCGGCTGCCCAGATGTTCCCTGTCTGTTCCTGCGTCAGTGCTTTTCCTCCAAGTCGTTCGTTTCGTATCTTGACGGGCGCATGGAGCACTAGATGCCCCGTCATTGTTTCTTTGATGACGACCTCATTCTGTCAAAGGACCTGACCTGTATGCTGAGCAACATTACACAACATGGCTTCTGCATTGCGGACTACCGTGTGTCTCGATAAGACAACCTTGATGAATGTCTTGCGGGAAGGCTGAGCTGCTTTATTAGAGTAGCATCCCTTCCAACTGCCGTCTGAAGTGAAAAGAAAAGTTTAAAGACATAAAAGACGGTGAGGGCAGAATAACTCCACGGAAGGGCACCGGCATCGTCCCGTAGACTAAAACCGAACGAAACAATAAAACCGCCGGCAAAGCTTCGCTCTGTTGTGTACGGATGCTAGTGTTGCTAGCCAACTGGGTCGATGCGTATCCGTAGTGTAGTATTCAAACGATTTCCTCACTAACACTGCGCCTTGAGATTGATTGTCTACAATGTACCTACCTTCCTTACCGTCGCAGTAGCTGCCCGGGTGGGGAGGAGTCTTGGATCTGGAGCAGAGGTTTGTGAGTCGTGACTATGAAGGAGCTACTAACTCTGTGCTAAGGACCAAGATGGCAAAGGTAAGCTAGGAAAACGACCAGGGGCTGTAATTCTCAAGTCGCAATGTTTCGCTCCACTTTGGCCTTTCATTTTGCTCAACTCACTCATTCACTCCAGTCTCCGCGTTCCCGTCATTCTCATGCGGCATTCTCACCCTCTTACTCTCACTCTCACTCTCACTCTTACGCTCATTCCCACTCTCATCGCCTTATCTTACAACATCCACCACCACCATGCAAGTACTGTACATTTACAACAAGACACAGCATGAGGTATCCGTACATACGCAGGTCAACAAGCCCAGTTCCCCGGCTTCCCGGTTCCATCTCCCCCCTTCATCCTAATCCCTTCGTTTCGGGGAAGCATGGCGGCTCCTATACTCACAGGCTA